ATTTTGAAACATTTAATTACTCAAATGTATCAACAGAATCAATATCACAACAATTTCAACATAAGCAATTAACACCAAAGCAAATAGTCAAAGAACAAAATATCTATCTACGGTATAGAAAGCATAATAAATGAAACAACATGATAATATGCAAATTTTACCTGCATGCTTTAACCCATGACAATGCATATACACTCGTGACCTTGAATATACGTCGTTCTCACACATAGTTCATGTAGCAAATGGACCCAAAAAGTCCTACTTCAGTCAAAGTTAAGCACGACATTTACCTCTTTTCGCAACCAAATGAATACTCAACCACGACTTTTCTTTTCGAACAAGCCTTCAAACCAACCGAATCTAAACAACTCAAAATAAGCATTAGCAACTACCCACGAATGAAAAAGATTCAATATTGATCATATTTAAAAAAGTCAACCCCGGGTGCCTTCTTAGTCGAAATTCGTGATTCAGACCAAATTCCGATTAGCCATTCACCCCCGAGCCCGATTATGTGATTGTTTCGAAATCCAAATTCAATTTGAGGCCTAAATCTCAATTTTACAATATCCCTAAACCCAAAACCCCTAATTTCTACCTTGGATTCATGGATTTGAAGTTAAAAATTCATGAGAAATTAATTGAAATTGATTGAAAACTAGTTAACGTTACTTACCAATGAATTTGGGGAGAAAATATTCTTCAAAAATCGCTTCTAGAGAGTATAAGATTGAAAAATGGTGTAAAATGAGCTAAGTCCCATTTTTTTCAACTTTTACCTAGCTGCAGATGGTGCAATTACGAACTCTAGTTTGCAACTGCGATGTCCACAATTGCGAAATACTGATCGCAAAAGTGACCAGTGCATCAGTGCCCAGAAGTTGCAAATGCGACAATTATCTCGCATTTGAGAAGCCCCCAACCATCGCAAATGCGGTGCAAGCTTTGCAAATGCAAAGCTATCCGGGAATCCCAGCCATCGCAAAAGCAACTAAATGGTCGCAAATGTGGACCTCACACAGTCCCTGATGTGGATGTTTATTCATAAAAGCAAAACCCAACCCCCAGCTCCCTCTTTGCATTTGTGAGCCTGATATCGCAAATGCGAGGCTCGCAATTGCGATCAGGTTCTCGTAAATGAGAGACCTGCAACTTATCACCAGCAACAAACTTGCACCAACAGTTCCAAAATCAACCAATACTCGTCTGAAACTCACCCCGAACCCCTCGGGCTCCGATCCGAACATACACACAAGTGTAATAATATTTTATAGACTTGCTTGCTCACTCAAGTCATCAAAATAACATCAAATATCTGAATCGATCATCAAAACTCAAGAATTTTTCAAAGTGTAAACTCATACTCCAACTTTCTGCATAACGCGCCAAAGTGTCGTCGGGTCTCCTGGGACCCAACCAAACATCGTACAAGTCCAAAAATATTCGAACCTACTGGAATCGTCAAAATACCGATCCGAGGTCGTTTACTATGAACGCTGACCGCGGTCAACTCAAACCTTATTTAAAGTTAAAAATCACGTTTTCTTCAAAATTACACATAAAAGCTTTCGAAAAATGACACAGACCATGCACGCAAGTCATATAATACCAAATGGAGCTAGGCGAGGTCTCAGAACACAAAAATTAAAACTAACGACATATCGGGTCGTCACAAAATCTGTCGGCACTTTCATTGTATTTTTTAGTGAACATTATGATTAATTACTGTCAATTGATTTTCATTTGGCAACTTGCTCACATTATAATTAATTACTGTCAACTGATTTCATTTGGCAACCTGCTCTTCCAAATACGTTTGAGATTAATTCATAGAATAAATTGCAAGCTTTCACGTGTGATTAGGTGAGAAAGCATGGATTAATTAAATACTTATTACCCCTGAAACTTCCCGCAGTCGAAGCATAAAAATACTCAATACAAGTGTCATTTTCCTTAAGATTTTGATGCATTGCATGTAACTAAGGGTTGCTAGACTCATTTTATTTGCTTAACTAGTGAAATAATGAACTTCTAAATCATAATTTATACAAGTCACATCATTTATATGCTATCATTTTAATTTGTTCTTAATCAATTGTAGTAAATTTTACTTACTAGTGTGTGCCTATCTGTTACTCCTCTCGGCAATATGTGTACACTGCTGTTTGCTTAATTTGAATAAAAGTTTCAAGTAAATTTTTTAAATTTTTTGCAAAACTGTTCCAACCAAAGTACACTAAAAAGAATAAATTTTCTTTTGCATGCAAAAATGAGGAAATTTTATTCATTGTAATTTACAATGCCAGCTAAATTATATTATTGAAAACTTAAAGAAGAGTTGGAATTTCCTCAACATATCGAGTGACTATCATGTCTTTGGGGTTTCTCTTCTTAAGAAAATAACATTTTTGAAAATTTTAAAGGATTATTTTAGCTATGATACAAATTTGATATTTGGTCAAGGACAAAATCAAGATTCCTTGATAGTGTCTACATAATTGAGCCATTGTTATGTTCCCAATCTTATGCATTTTGTCTTCACCTTAATCCAACTTTTACACTGCTTGGTCTCTTTAGATTTGGTTTATAAGCTCTAATTACTTAATTTGATTATTGCTCAAAAGTTTAGCAAAAAACTTCTAGTCAAATTTGTCTACTCTTAAGCTCACCTTTCAAAATAGGGTGACAAATAAACTGTTTAGAGAACTTTGTGGCTAGCAAATCCCACAAGAATTTATAAATAATACAGCTTTAAAATGCCTAGATAAAGTTGTCTAGAAGTAGTTATGCTGTCACTTACCTAAACCGACTTAATTAGGCATGTAATTTTCAGAGATAGAGAGCCTTCCAATATTTTAATTGCTGATAGTGATAGTTTTTAATTAATCCTCCTTGGATACCCTTTTTTCTGACGTCGCCAAACTCATAATCTAGTTAATATAACTTCTTAATTATATGCATTAATAGTGTAACAAATATTTACACATTCTCTAAAAGCTATTTATTTGTCGTATGGCACGTATGTGTTGGTTTATAGTTTGCCTTGATATTATGTGAAGTGTACGTATAAAGAATACATATATTATATAACAAGTATAGTTGCTGAGCGAGAGAACCTCAATTAATTAGTTGTATCAAATCCCTCGTACGTTCTTAAGGAAATATATCACGTTTTAAAGGTCACAATTCGAACTACATTAATTGTCAGTGGTTAATTTTTTTCTTACTCTCTTGTTATCTAAATATGAGAAAGCTCCATCCTTATAGGCTATATCTCTCCTCATCAACCAAGCAAAATATCGTACTACCTTTAATTTATTAAATCACATTTATTGGCATACATTGTAAGGTTGTAGGTTGTGGTTATACTTTCTCCTTATTGTTGGCTGAAGATAGAAACTATAGTAATATTCATTTACTCTCTTTAGCAAAATAATTGTCTATTTAATTACTTTCTTCAGTAAAACAATTGTGAGCAAATAATCGCAGTAATACTTAGGTAAGCTGGTACAGCCTGGGTTCTTACTCTTAAGCTTCGCTTGAAGAAATAAATAATTACTACTTATCTAAGATGATAAGACCTTGATTAATTAAATAGCTAGCATACTACTAGCCTTTGGATACCATATTATAGAAAGCTGGTGGTTCATTCTCTACTGTCACGATACTCATTTCATGCCAAAATCACGCACCTTGTTTATTTAATTATTCATTAATTGGAACCTTAATTATTTATCTTTTAGCACCTTATTAATTAAACTATGATATAAAAATACAGTAACAAAATTGTCTTTTGGAGTTTGTCTCCTAGATGTAGACTTGTTTAGCTGGTTTATCTAGATTTTTTATTTAAAAAAAAAAAAAAAAAAAAAGAAGGATAAGGAAAATCTATCCTCCCACCCTACCTCCTTATTGATTTGTTTTTTTCCTTCTCTTTAAGAACCAATTAGCTTAGTGTAGAAAATGAAATGCCATTGAATCATATAGCAAACCAATTAGCTTAGTGTAGAAAATGAAATGCCATTGAATCATATAGCAAACCTTTGAAGATGATAGAAAAGTCACAAAAAGAAGCAAAACTGCACAGTTAGAAAGATAAGGATAGCGTTGGGGGGCAAATGGGCGGGTCGGGTCGATATGAACGGGTCGAAACGGGTAATTAAAAAAACGGATAGATTATCCGACCCGACTCGTATTTGAGACGGATAAAAAATAGATTATCCGGCGGATAATATGCATATCCATATTATCCAAGGCTTCTTGGATATGATCACTTATGGGAGAATTCCTAGTCTGTCAAACTTGAGGAATTTGAGCATTTACAAATGTAAAAGTTAAAACACATTAGTTATCCATTGGTTATCTATTTGGTTAACCATTTTCTAAGTGGATAATATGGTTCTTATCCATATTCGACCCGTTTTTAAAAAGTTCATTATCCAACTCATTTTTAATGGATATATGGATGGATAATTATTTTCTTTTAACTATTTTGCCACCTCTAGGATAGCGTAAGTAAAAAAAGATTACGCTCTTATTTTCTTTTTTTTTTAGCTCTAACATTGTAATTGTTTTTATACTCTAATTAGTATATGTGATAGTAGATTAATTATCAATTTATAACCAAATTACCAAAATTAACGAGCATTGTTTTATTGCTTATTTACGGAAAATAAAACAATAAAGTCTGACAAACTGAAAATTATTTGTCTGGCAAATTAAACTAGAAGTCCAGTAGCAGTATCAAGAGGACAAAGGAAAGGCAGAAGTTGCTTGTGACTTTTGTGTACTAAAAAGCAGCTTAACAATTCCAAAAGTTGTCTGGACCACAAAGCAAGATTTAGGACAACATAAGAAGCTGTTCTTTTGTCCATGCACTTTCCCCTAACACAATAAATATTTTATGCTTAATTAAAAGAAAATCGAGAATCCGTAGCATTTCCCAATATGATTCAAACATTCACTGAAACGAGGAAAAACATTCTTTTACTGCAACATACTACTGCTAAGTGTAGTAGTAATATAAGACGTTAGAAAAATTACATGCATCGAGGCACATTAACGTCCCACGCTTTCCTTGGTTTTCTTAGATTTTCTTGTTCCAACTTTGTCTTCTTAGAAGAAAAAACATGTCAAACTTTGTTACACCATAGACAAAGCCTTCCAACAAAAATCTTAAAACTAAATCTAACTTTCGAAACATGTTTAGATAGAAAAAAAAAAAGTTAAACCAACGGATGTGACGATGACTCTATACGGTGATTGGATTGAATACGCCCCCGGCTGAAGTCGTTAGTTGATGCTTATTCCTCCGATATCGTCATTGCTTCTTCTTTGCAAAAAGAAGTTCACGATATTTTGATCTTTCCAGACAACTCGATGGGTTTAGTTAACCGTTTTAGAAGATCCTAATGATAGTAAATTGAACCTATTCAATTTTTACAATAAGATGATTGACTGTTCACTGTCTAGCTGTGCCTTTCGTCTTTTTTTCCTCGATCATTCGATGATGTCATGAGAGAAACAACAAGATCCGAGAAAGCACCAACAATATATTTGTGGGTATGTTTCGGATTAAGGTTTAAATAACAGATGAGAAGTTCATGCAATAATTCCCAATTGGTTTTCACGTCAGTCAACTCATGAGCTTCCACCATTTCTTGCATTGATCGTCGGAAATCGGAATACGGGTCAGGCGAGTACGTTTGAATTGCAACGCCGCCGTTGACCACCGCCTCTTCTCTCTTCTCCGGCGAAGGGGTTGTCGGAAAGTCGACAATGGAGTTGGAGTTACCAGGGGAAGAGAAGAAGAAGCGTTGAGATGCAAAGACATTGGAGAAATCGGGAATATTGTTGGAATCAGTATCAGAATATTCTGAATCTTCAAAAGAAGAGAATATGTAATCACCTGTTAGGGTGGAGGAATTAGTGAGAGATTTAGAAGTGGCGGAATCAGAGGGAATGTCGAAAACAGAGTTGAAGTTTTTGATAGTTTGTTCATTTTCTTCTTCTTCGAAAGATAGAGAGAGATTTGTGGGAAGGCATTTGAAGTTTGGGAAGCAATGGTAGAATTTCTTTTGAAGAATTCTTGGCATTTTTTTGCTGGCGGTGGTGGTGATTTATGGTGGCGCCGCCCGGGATGGGATGAGAGAGTAGCTAGGGAGTAGGGGATGACAGAAGAAGATGGGAATAATAGATAGCCTGGGATTGAAGAGACATGCATACAATGTACTTATATATGTGTATATTAATTGCTATTTGTCGCGAGTAGGGGTGTTCGTTGGTCGGTACGGTACGGTACGGTACGGTAATTAGATATTTTGGATTGGTATTTGGTATTTGATTTCTTAAAATGTTATACCAATACGGTACCTAATTCAATTCGGTATGGTTCTGCTTTTCTCCCTTTGGTTTCAGTTTATTCAGTATGGTGACTTCAGTTTGTTCGGCTGAATATTAACGTTGACAAAATCTTTGTCCAAAATTAGCAAGTATTAATCCAAAGAGAAAAAAAAAGGTACATAAAGGAATAAATACAATCATTGAAAATGTCTTATTACTTGCTTAGAGATAATTGCTGAACTTAGAGGATACAACTAATTCAATAGATGCAACATCAATACACCGGTAAGAAACACCCTAAAATCTGAAAAATATTATGTTAACCTACTTGGCAACCTGAAGAATATAAGAGTCAGAATCTACCGTCTAATTTGTTCCTTTTATTTTTCTAAAGAAGTTCATTGGTTTTAGTGTTAGTCGCATCATGAATGCCAAAGACAAGTATTATGTAACTTAGTACGTTATAATCAGTAATATGTGTTTATGTAACTAGGTATATATTTTTGTATGGTATTGATATTTCGGTATTTTTTTTAAATACCAGATACCATACCTAAAACCATTTTTTTAAAAAACCTTAAATCAAATATCATACCATATACCAAAAAATCGAATACCAAATACCAAATTTTTTGATTTCGGTACAGTAATTTGGTATTTATCAAATTATGCACAGCCCTCGTCACAAGATGTTATTATTTTGGGTAGTCAAATAATAATTGTATTATTATTTTTAAGTTGATTTTAAATATTTTGACTTATCTGCAGTAGAAGGTTAGTAAGTAGCATTATATGTCTTTTTTTTTGTGAGGGGCTGAGTAGAGATAGAGATAGGCCTAAGAAGTATTGGAGAGAGATGATAAGGCAGGACATGACACAACTTCAGTTTCGTGAGAACTTGACCCTTAATAGTAGGGTCTGGATATCGAGAGAACTGTATTGGAGAAAATGAATATTACACGTGGAATTAATTATGTGGCTGACATGGCAAGACACGTGGATCACTAGAAAAGCGACAGCTGGAGAAGAGCATTAAAAAAGACGCGAGTCTTAATAGATACGAGCAAAACACCCACGAGATGAGAAGAAACGGTTGCACGAGTCTCTTTAGCATTTGAAGAGGCACCGGTAGAATGAACCAAGACAGTAAAAAGGGTAGATTCATTGGTCTTCAATTAACGAGCATGGATGATTACAAACGTTACAGAATCTTCACGAAACAGTTAAGATTACCAATTATAACGTTTCATTAATGTCATTAATGCTCATAATGACTCAATCATAGAAGGGAAAAGACGTTGTACTTAGAGATCACTATATAAGGTAAAGAAATGTCATCTGTATGGACACGTTCTGATTATTATTGGAATATAATTACTTTCTTTTGCTTTCTACTGAATACTTTGCTATTTCATATTCTAATTTCCTTTCTTATTACGAGAATATTGATTTTCTTGATTATCAGTAGCCCGAGTACTTCTAAAAATAGGCTTTGACTGAAATTCCTATTTTTTGGTTAAACAAATTTGTTCCGTTACCGAGAAAGTGAAAATTTATTCACTTTCCAAATTCTTTTTTCTATTGAAAAATCATGTCTACTGCTAACGACAACAACCAACAAAATCAGCAACACCAGTTGATCCAGCAAAATCAATAAGAGGATTGAACTCCAGTCCCTTCACCACAAAACTCTCCTCAACAATCCCGAGAAGGGTCACCTGATAGATCTATATCACATGCGGATGACCAACATGGGGATGACCAACCTATTGATGAAGCATTGAAGCAATTAATCGCAGAACAGGTCAACAATGCTCTTCAAGCTTTTGTTAGTGGGTTGTCAACTGTACCACCAACTCGACCTCCGAATAACACCGCAACCATAGAAAATCCACGCTCGGACTCGCCAATTCAGGCAGTAGAGGAACTCCCAGCGAATCTCGTGATGGAAGGTCAGGTATTTCAATTAATTCTGATTTACAAAGTTTAATACAAACTTTGCAGAAACAGCTCAAGGAGCAGAACGATCGCATAAAGCAGATACCTGATGTTCCTCCTATAATCAAAGGAGTGGATATGGATAAATATTCTCAACAACATTGGAAGCCAAGTGCCGCTCCTTTGCCTATTCCAAAAAAGTTTAAGATGTCCGATATCCCGAAGTATGATAGGAAAACCGATCCACGAGATAATGTAACTGCATTTACAACTGGCGTGAAGGGCAACGACTTGACCAAGCAAGAGATTGAATCAGTGCTGGTCAAAAATTCGGTGAAACACTTACAAAGGGAGCACCAACATGGTATTCTCTTTTACCTGAAAATTCTATTGATTCTTTTGCTGAGCTTGCAGATTCATTTATAAAAGCACACTCAGGTAGGGGTGTTCATCGGTCGGTACGGTACGGTATTTAAACATTTCGGTTCGGTTTTTGCGGTATTCGATTTCTTAAAATCCTATACCAATACCGTACCTAATTAAATTCGGTATGGTTCGGTTTTTCTCCGTTCGGTTTCGGTTTATTCGGTTCGCTAACTTCGGTTTATTCGGTTTGAATACTAACTAGTGCATAGAGCCATAAACTCTAATATTCTTAACTAAAGTACTCAAAAATACAAAACTGAAAATGTTTGTTGACAAAAATTTTGTCCAAAACTAGCAAATGTCGATCCAAATAGAGAAAATTGTACATAAAAGAATATTTGATCATTAGAAATGTCTTGTTACTTGTTTAGAGTTAATTGGTGAACTTTGAGAATAAAGAAAAGTAAAATTTTAGATTTTTTATATTTATGTTATAATTGATAATATGTGTTTTGTGTAATATAATATATATTTCGGTACGATATCGGTATTTCGGTATTTTATTTTAAAATACCAAATACCATACCTAATACCAATTTTTTTAAAAACTTAAACCAAATACCATACCAAATACCAAAATACCGTATACCAAATACCAAAATTTTCGGTTTTGGTACAGTAATTCGGTACTTACCAAATTATGCCCAGCCCTACACTCAGGAGCTCAAAAATTTGAAAAGAGGATGGAAAACATCTTCAAAATAAAACAAGGAGATGCGGAGCTACTAAGGGAATTCGTGGATAGATTCTAACGTGAAAGAATGATGTTACCACATGTACCTGACAATTGGGCGGCTATGGCATTTGCAAGTAATTTAAATGAAAAAAGCTTAGAAGCCACGAGGAGACTCAAAGAAAGCTTACGAGAATTCGCTGCAACAACTTGAAATGATGTTTATAACAGGTATAGCACGAAGATGCGGATAGAAGAAGATACTATCACTCAGTCACGGGGGGATGAAAGAATAAGTTCGAGGCAACCAGAAACTGAAAAAAAGTCCGGTAAGAACAAGTACGAACCTTACATGGGACCAGCAGGAAGGGATTCACGTTCAAAACAAGAGAACCTGAGGTATGATTCCAGATCAAGGGACAGAGATTCGGGTTCATCATCCAAGTTTGGAAAGGAGTGAGACACGCGGGACAACGACAGAAGTTTGAAAGCAAAGATTGGTCGTTACAGTTTCAATGTTAGCACATCTGAGTTGGTAGCTATTTTAAGAAGCATGGGAGATAAGGTGCGGTGGACAAAAGAAATGAGATCGAACCCCAACAGAAGAAACCCAGATTTCTGGTGCGAGTTTCATAATGATTATGGTCATAAAACAGCAGATTGCAGATTGCTACAAGGTGAAGTAGAGCACTTATTAAAACAAGGCTGCTTAACTGATTTGTTTAGTGAGAAGGGTAAGCAAGCATATATGAAGAATAGACAGGAGCCACCAAAACCTCCGTCACCAAAGAGAATGGTTAATGTCATAAGCGGAGGAGAGGAGGTCAATGGTGTGACATATATGACTGCAAAAAAGGTGTCAAAAATCACAATCACCCACGGGAAGCGAGTTCGCCAAGTTTTGGAAGAAGACAGTATAACATTCGATGATGCAGACGTAGATGCGTGTTGATCCCACACAATGATGCACTGGTAATATCTTTACTTGTACATGATACTAATGTGAAACGAGTTTTGATTGATCCAGGTAGCTCTGTAAATATCATTCTTTTAAGAGTGGTAAACGAGTTGCAAGCTGATGACAAATTGGTACCCAAAGAACGTACCTTATCTGGATTTGACAATTCAAGCGTTGTCACAAAAGGGGAGATAATACTCACCACATTCGCAGAAGGAGTAGTCAAAGATACGAAATTTCAAGTAATAGATATGGGCATGGCGTACAATATGATCCTCGGTAGACCTTAGATTCATGAGATGGATGTTGTTCGATCTACTTTACATCAGGTTATTAAGTTCCCTTCGTAATGGGAATTAGGCAAATCCGTGGTGATCAAAAGGCTTCCAGAAGTATCAATTCAGTGGCAAATTCAAGCATACAAAATGACGTTGCAGATAAAAAATAGCAACTACAGAATTCAATTGAGGGTTTAACAACTCAAACCTCAATTGAAGATGGACAAACGGATGTAAACTCAACTACTACTCAAGAGCCAGAAGAAAACGAAAACATCAAAAAGACAATCGAGGAACTCGAAGTTGTGGTGATGTTTATACATTGGCCGGACATAAAAGTTTACATCGGAACCAATCTAAGACCAGAGTTGAAAGGTAAGTTAATTAAATTCTTAAAAGCTAACGCAGATTGCTTTGCTTGGTCACATTCAGATATGACTGGTATACCCCCGGAGGTGATGACCCATAAGCTGAATGAAGATCTAACACACCCACCTGTCAAACAAAAGAAAAGAAAGCAAGGATCCTTCAAAAACCAGGTGATTCGGGATGAGGTACAAAAGCTTTTAGAAATTGGGTCTATCCGAG